ATGTCCTAAAGGCCAGGTGGGGAATTCAACTGTTTCCCTCAGTCTGGGAAGCATTTTCTTTATTTTCCAAAAACTTCATTTGAAATTTTCACTGAAATGACAGGAGAGATGTTTTCTTAAAAGTTGTGGAAACATGCATCAAGGAGTCAAGTGAAGGACTGGTGTCCAGCCTTGGACAGCCCGTAAACGGCAGCTCTTAAATGCCCTCCTCTGCCCGCAGGTCCTTTAAATGTCTTCTGCAGAAGTTTACCAGCAGAGTTTAAAGAGCACAGCATCCACAGGTGTCTGCCCCTGAGAAATGGGCTCTGAGACACAGTGCCAGCTTCCCCATCATGGAGACACTACAACTTGTCTTTTTCATCAGCTCTTGACCAGTGCTAGAATCTCTCATGGGCTCAAGAGTCTCTCTTCCAAGCAGTAAATTATTTCCAGATGCTATTGGCTCTTCTTGGAGAAAATCTTCCTTCCGAAGGTGTGAGCTCAAATATAGAGTTGAGTTATTCCACCAAAAAGATGAACTGAAATACCAGGTTTGTCCTGGCTTCTCTTGAGTAGCTTCGGTGTAAACATGTTGTGGAGTGCCAGGAGCATGCACTGTTAAGATGAACATTTTTGCACTCCACAAACTCCAGTTGTGCCATGTCCTTTGGATTTTCCTGTGTTGCTTCTGCTGCTAGATAGCCGTGCTATGCTCTGCAGTCTCAAAGAAACCCCTCTTTCTCCCTGGCAGTGCCATCTTCCTAACTTATCACTCAGTCCCTGGGTAGTTAGTTTTCCCCTTTGCTGGAGACTCTGTGGCTTTGTGAACTGCATCGCTTGTGGCACAGCCCACACTGCCAGCTTTCCCCTGCTGGTGTGACCTGGGGCTGAGGGAGAGGGACTGTCCCTTGCCCTCACAGTGGCACTGCTGTGAGAGTCCTGCTCTATGCTTATCCCAGCTCCTCTTTTGTCTTTCCTCTAATGCAGTGGTTCCCAACCAGAGGCAGTTTTGCCTCTCAGGGGACATGTGGCAGTGGATGAAGCTATTTTTCACTGCTATGATGATCTATTTTCAGACATGTTCATCACCCTCTGAAGGAAATGCTATATTCAAAAGCAATCACTCCCTATTTTCTCCAAATACCCTCTGCTCCTGACGGCCGCTTATCTGCTTTCTGTTGCTGTAGATTTGCCTATTCTGGACATTTTAGAATCTATAATCTATGTACTTTTGTGTCTGGTTTCTTTTATTTAGCTTAAGGTTTTCGGGGTCCATGTGTGTTTCCTATTTATATTCTGCAAGATTGATAGGAAGGCATTTCAAAAAGGTCATGGAAAATGGAATCAAAAGACAAGTTCCTTTTGCTGCAAGAATTTTTGAGGTCTGTGTATATTGCATTTTATTTACCCACTCACCAGTTGATGGGCATTTTGGTTATTGGATGGGCTTTTATAAATTCTGTGTCTTAGGCTGTTCTGAATACTTTAATGTAATGCTGCTATGAATATTAATGCACTAATTGTGTGTGTGTGTGTGGTGTGTGTCTCCACTTTTCCTGGGAATGTTGTAGAGAGTGGAATTGCTAAGTCATGTGGCGATCATGCATAACCTACTGAGGCATTGCACTTCAGTTTCCACGTCTACCTCACTTTTCTTCCCCATCACCGGTGGGTTAGGGATCTGATTTCCCTGTTACCCTGGCCAGCCCTTGGCTGCTGCTTGGTTGGTTTGGTTTTATAGCCATTCTAGTGGGTGTTAAGTGAAATCTCATTGTGGTTTTGGTTTTATATTTCCTTTAAGGCAACTGACGTCAAGTTTCATGCACTGAGTGTCCGTTGGCATACATCCTTTGTCCAAATGTCTACTTAACTATTTTCCCATTTTAAATTTGGGGAGGGCTGTCTTTTTGGACCGCAGGTGATCTTTATGTATACAAGTTCCTCGTCAGGTGTATCATTCACAAACATTTTCTCCTTTTTTTCAGGTTGCTTTTTTGCTTTCTGAATGATTTCCTTGAAAGCACATAGTGTGTCATCTTGCTAAAGTGAAATTCATATTTCTACTTTTGTCACTGGGTTTTTGGTGTCATTGAGTGTCACTGAGTTCTTACTCATTTGTGCTGTCAATGAGTTCTTACCCATCACCGAATTTATAGCCATTGTGTGTGTGTGTGTGTGTGTGTGTGTGTGTGTGTGTGTGTGTGTGTGTGTAAAATAAGCCTCAACTTGGTGGTTGTTTTAGCTGTACAGTTCAGAGGCATATATTCAGAAAGCTGTGCAACCATCACTCCTATTTCAAACAACTGCTCATCACCCATAATAGAACACCTGTCCCTAAGAAGTAGTAGCTCCTCACCTTCCCCTGCTCCCTAGTGTCATGTAAAAACTAAATTTTTGTTGTTGTTGTTGCAGTTTATTCATTTCAGTGTTAACAACTATGTACAATTAAGAGTTATCATATCGAACCACCTGATATCGCTCTCCATTATGGTGGAGAATTGCCACCATAGTTTCCAACCCACTGGTAGATTATTATTCTATTTTTGGTCATCCAAGACCTATTCTCCTGTAAAAGCTCAACTGTTCTTGAAGAGGGAAGCTCCAATCCTTTGACTCCTAGCTCAGAAGCCTGCTGTGGTCACCTGTCACAGGTCAACAGGTAAATCCCGGGTCTCCTCTGGGACCTGTGTGTGACTGCCCCTTGGAACGTCTCGGCATTCTCTGTTGGCTTCTGCAGGTCTCCAGCCAGCCTGGTCTCCCTGGTCATCTTTGAGCTCATCTCGTGTTGTATGTACTCACAGTCTTGGCAATGTCTACCCTTTTCCACGTGGAGCACTCTCCCTCTAACTCTTCGTTTAACTCACTCCCTAATACCATTCAGATATGCTCAGATGTCACCTCTGTATCTGAAATAGCATCCCATGTCCATCTGCATTCTGCTGCTCTATTCCTATTATACTGTATCTATTTGTTTTTATGTTCTGTCTCCCTCACTGAAACGCAAGCCATGAAGAAAAAACCTTCTTTCTCTAGTCCCCTTAATACCTGGACAATGTAGACTTTACTGAGTACATGGACAGATGCTGTTATGCCTTTCAAGGCTGTAGTCTATGTCGGAATCAGAGATAGTGGTTCTTTCTGGGGGTGGAGTGCCTCTAAGATACTGCATTTGCTATTAAAACAGTCTTAGGGCCCTGCTGCTGAAAAGGAACCTTCCCCACTCTGGATGGCTCTTCTGCAAATACAACCAGTTTGTTGGCTTCCTGGGGTTAATTTAGCTTCTTTAACCTTACTTTTTGCATTTCTGTTCTTCCTCTCTTTCTAATGCAGCCATGCTTAAGTCTCCAAACTGTCTTTACCATTCCTCTTGTAAGCCATTCCTCTTTTAATCCAGTGGCCCTTTGTATCTGTTCTCCTAGGGACCTTTTAGGTTCCCCGGGAGCAATCTCCCAGTTTAGGGACATCTGCAATGCCACCCTGAGGTCATTGTGCAGGCTAATCTGCCCTTATTTACAGAGTTACCTTTCTAGAATAAAAGTTAAGAACTGTGTGCCCTGGAGCTGGGTCCAGGGGCTCATAATTCCCAGATTTCTCTCATGGCTCCACTTGATCATTTTACTCTTGGAGTAAAATAAACAGGTCTTGATTTTTTACAAAGAGCAGAATTCTTCAACACACAGTTGAGTAAACTGGTGAGCCGCCAGTACATGTGGATTGCAACTGCGGGGTTGCAAATTTGAGTGTGATATTCCCTTGTACAAAGCACATGGGCCCCAGATCTGGATGTAGGTAGGAAAGAGGATAAAAGGAGGTTGTCAGCATCATCCCGGGGAAGTGTTCCTGATCTTAAAACAGGTCTTGCCCTTCTCAGAATGAGAAGCAGATTTCTCAGAGCAGGGCTAGCTGACATAAATTACTGCAGTTCTGTTGGAATTCTGCCACTGTGGTTGGTATTTGCATGATAGTGGTCACCCCTGAAAAGAAGAAAAGCAAAAGATGTGAGAACTGTAGCTTCCAAATCATCGCTGGCTCACTGGCTGCCTTGCTTCCCCCCAGGTGTTAGACTCTGGAAGTAGATACGCTTGCCAAAAAAAAAAAAAAAAAAAGTGGTGACTGTCTCTCCAAAAGGGTACAGTTGATGGAACTTCATTCTGCATTCATGAATTCTCATATTGATTCACAACTCCAGTTTAGCCATAATCAAAGATGAGCATTTGAAAAAGCTCAGTGTTGGCACTTCGTGGATTAATTCTAGTAACAAAGTGTCCATCTTTTTAAAACCAGACACAGAGATTGTGATCTTTATAAAAATGTACATTTCAATGTAGAGCAGATGTTCAGTTATTTGGCTGGAAATCTGATTTTGTTTATTTCCTTCTCCTAAAGAGAAATGATGGGGAAAATACAGCTGAAAAGAAGCATTAGAATTTCGCAGGACAAGTATCATTTGTTCTCTCCTGTATTAGGCAGCCGTGATGCAAAGCACAAAATAAATAGATAATAAAGTATATACATATATTCTCATAGATGAACTGTATAATGGAGACTGGCATACCAGCAAGTGAGGATACATTACAATACACGTCTCTACTCCTGAATAAAAGGAGGACCCCGGATGAAACAGTTAAATGACTTTGGAAGTACGATACCAGATGTTCGACCTTTGCCTGTCTATACCTACGATGCCATGACACACTTCGATAGCAGAATGTTAAGCTTATAAGAGTTACTGAAGGACTATGCTACTATGATAATATGGGGAGAAATTATGGGAGGGGAAAAAGGGAAAGGGAGGAAAGAATCCTATACTACAAACCTGTATCATGGAAAAGATAAAATAATAATCATAATAAATAAAAGAAAAAACAAAAGACATGTAAAAATTAAAGAATCACACGGGATGTAAATCTGTAATATCTTCACATTTTAAGAGATATTTTTCAAATTCCAGTTTTATGTTCTAAATAACAGGTTGCCACACGTAGACATTTGGAAGTGATAGTAGCTTCCATGTTTTTCAGATACACCATTGACCAATGGACATGCTACTGACTATTTATTTGTTGGGAATATTGTTTACACGGTAAGTTCCTCTGTTTATGGAACCATGTTAAATGACTCACATGGGGGCTACTCGTACCCACCCCCTGCGTGTAAGGCTCTCCTCCTTATAATCTTTCAAGCTCTTGGATGCCTGAAAGCTCTAGATGCTGGGAAATGCTTCCACAGTGTTTCACCACAGTACAGAATTAAGGTCTTTGGACCATTGAGTTTCCTCATTCTTCAAATGACCATTTACCTTCCCTTGTAAGAGAAAACGGCAATCTGGGAGGTGATTTCTGCCAACTCATGCCATCAAAGACAAGACAAAACCAGTAGTAGTGGGAGAAGGCAGTCCCTGGAATGAGGGCTTAGTTGAAAGTGGATGTGCCCCCTAAAATAACCCCTGAGAGCTAGCCCCCTGGCAGGGCCCTTTACTCGGTGGCAGCTTTGGAGGAAGTGGTTCTGGAGCAGGATTTCTCATGGGAAGTACAAATAGCTCTTGGGGCAGAATCCGTTTCCCAGACTCCTCTTTGTTTTTGCAGTATGTTGTTGTTACCGTCTGTCTGAAAGCCGGCTTGGAGACCACTGCGTGGACGAAGGTAAGCTTACTGTAAAACTGGTTCCTTATCCAGCTGCATGTGTGTTGTCAGGTACAGTTTCTGGCTTAAACCTTGGGAAAGCAGAAAGCAGTATCTAGCCCCCTTATTTTAAATCTTGCCGGTGAAAACCGATTTGCTGTCTTAACAAGGCATGTGGGCAATCCGCAGTTTCCTAGTAATTCATAAGCCTGGCATATGTCAGCTCCGAGTCATTATCAGTCACTTTATTTGAACTTTAGATGCACATTTGAAGTGATACATGCGGGGCTGATGTGGTGACACACTGGGTTAAGCGTCTGCTTGGGGTACTCACATCCGTGTCGGAGTGCCAGCTGCTCTGTGCTTCCGATGCAGCTTCCTGCCAATGCAGGTGATGGACGGAGCACTTGAGTTCTTACTGCTTCTGTGAGGGACCCAGGGTTAAGAGCCATGCTGATTAGCTAGTCTCAGGAATGCCCTACTGAGGAGATGGGTGCGGGCGCGGGAGGTCAGACTTAAGGTACTGCAGCAGCTGCTTCAGGTGAGAGGTGATGGTCAGGAAAGCCAGAGGAGGAGGTGCTGAGAAGGAGCTGGATTCTGCCTGTTTTCTTTCCTCAAAAAAAGCTCTCAGGGCGCCTTGAGCCATTGGATTGTAGGGTGTGGAAGAAAGGAAAGAGGTCAAGGATCCTGGACTTAAGAGGATAAAGGAGATTAACAACTCAGTGGCTGTTTAGAGGAACATCAGAGAGCAGAACAGTGCTTTCCTGGGCCTGGAAGGTGCGGAGGGAGGGGAAGGAGAGATGGGCACAGGGATAGAGTTGGATAAGAGGGAAAACTGCTGATCTTCTTTAGTACAGTGAGCTAAAAGTTAACAGGATGCTTCAAACTGTTATCTTCAAAAACAAAATTTATTTATTTGACAGAGTTACGGAGGGAGGAGAAAAGAGAGAGAATTTCCACCCCTTAATTCACTGCCAAAATGACCACAAGGCTGGGGTTGGGTCAGGTCAGAGCCAGGAGCCAGGAATTCCATCCAGGTCTCCCGCGTGGGTGGGGCCTTAACCCACTGTGCCACAGTGTTAGTCCCTAATGGAGTATTTCAAGATTGCTGATAAAGGGGATTTTGAATGTTTCCTGCACAAAGAAATAATAAATGTGAGGGGTGATAGACGTGCCGCTCTGATCTGATTGTTGCATATTATGTACATGTTTTAAATTTTATGTTGCACCCCCTAAGTCTGTAAATCATTATATATGGATTAAAGCCAGAAATATATTAAATACAGAAATGAAAAAGATATATAAACCCTACATTTTAAAAACAACAACCCTTCAGACTGAACAAAACAATGAAAGCCTCCCAGTGATAAATAAAAACACTGTTTTTGTGTCTCTTCTGCTCTCTTAACTAAATTAATGATTGCTTGGGTCACAGAGCTCCAAGTTCCAGCAGCCACTTGTGTGGCGCTGGGAGGGAGACCTGCTGCTAGGGGTTGGGTCTTGGAGGAAGGTCGGCTGTGACTGCCAAAGCACTGTCATCTTCAGGGAAGTTTGGCACCACTGATAACTTGAATTCATTGTTAAAAAGTCTTGAGACAGAAGCAAGCCTTTGGCTTAGCAGTTAAGCCATCACACGGAGACCCGTTACAGAGTGTCTGATTTGTATCAGCTTCAGGTCAGCTTCCTCCTGGTGGGCATCTTGAAAGGCAGTAGATGATGGCCCTGTAAGGGAGCTTGGTTCCTGGCTTGCTCCTGGTCTAGCTGTGCCTGTTAGAGTCATTTGGGGAATAATCTCTCTCTCTCTCTCTATATATATATATATATATACACACACACACATATATACACATACACACATATATGTATTATGGATATATGTGTGTGTATGCCTCTTTCTTTCTCTCTGTTTTTTTGCCTGTCAGTTAACTGAAAAATGAATAAATAAAAATTCAAAAACAAACTCTAAGACAATCTTAAAATTAGATGCAATGTGATTAAATGATGTTAAGGATTAGGATCAAGAAAATACTCAGGAACAGAGGAAAATAAAAATGCTTTTTTTAAAAAAAAGAAGTAAGATGATAATGAGAATATCTGCATTGTAATGATGCGTGTTTTACTGCAGTAAATTTTAAAAAGATGAAAACCGGCTCAGAGGTGACAAGGATGCAATACTGGAACATGTTATATAAAAAGAGGTTGTAAAATTACTATAATAAAACAGACAGTGCTAAGCTAAGAGTAAAAATATCCTGTGCTATTACCATAACATATATTAGCAATGTAACATGCTTCCATTTTTGATGATTAATTTCTTTGGCTGTTTTTAGGGGATTAGGAACAGGTCTGTGGTTGTCTGCTCTGTTTTGCGTTATTTGGTTCTAAATTTGGCAGATGTATTTTATGTGAAGAAACAATAAAAGTTAAGGTATATTTACTTCTGCCAAATTCGCTATGTTTGGAAACAATAGGAAGGAAGGAGGAAATGAGATGAAAGAAGGAAGGAGGGAGGGAGGAAGGAAAAAAGGAGGGAGGGAGGGAGGGAGGAAGGGAGGGAGGGAGGGAGGAGGAGGGAGGGAGGGAGGGAGGAAGGAGGGAGGGAGGGAGGGAGGGAGGAAGGAGGAAGGAAGGGAGGAGGGAGAGAGGGAGGAAGGGAGGGAGGGAGAGAGGAAGGAGGAAGGAAGGGAGGGAGGGAGGGAGGCCGGCTTGCCGGTCACTGAAATAAGGGAGCTAGAAACATGGAACTTCCAGTAACTAGGAAGCTGTTGAATCCTTCCACTGGGAAGGGCAGCTTGCATGTGGGGCTTCTGCCGCTCGTGGAGTGGGGTGCATCTCCCAGGCCAGCCCGAATCAGTGTCTGAGTGTCTCTTCTTTGCAGTTCAGTCACCTGGCTGTCTGGGGAAGCATGCTGACCTGGCTGGTGTTTTTCGGCATCTACTCAACCATCTGGCCCACCATCCCTATTGCTCCGGACATGAAAGGGCAGGTCAGTGTGTCTCCAAGTCTTAGGATGACGGTGCTGTTCCAGGTGTGAGTTAAGCAAACTTTCTGTGTCTTGCAAGAACTTGATCAAAGGTTGATGTTACCTTCTTCCAGTAAAATTTTCAGGAGATAACCCAACCAAAGCATGTGGGAGAGGCTATGCAGTCCATGGAAACAGCGTTTGAAAGTTTAACTGTTGCGCAAAGTGTTAACATAAATTCTCTAAATGACCTTGTCCCTTTATGCATAATATATCACATGTCTCCTGTATACAGCGTTGCCATGGATGATGTGTAGCCCTCAGGAAATCGTAGCGGTTTGGATCACTCGTAATCTGCTTGTGACATTTTCACTGGTTATGTGTGTGACTGTACTCTGATGTGTGAATAATTGGTCACCTGTAAAAAGCAAATCTAACAGCTCTTGTAGCTAGATCCATCTCCTTGAACCAGAGAAGCTGTGACTCAAGGCCTCTCACTCCCTGCGGTGTTTTTATCTTATTTTCTCTTGAGTGATCTGGGTCCAGTGTTTGACCCATCAGCAATGACAAACTACATCATGGAGTTCTACCATGTCACGGAAAAAGGAACTTGGCAATCCTGTGGGCCAGATCTCCTCCTCAATGTATACATGAAGCTGTGCAGGTCCCAGTCCTATTCTTGAGGCCCACGCCACAGCCTTAGACCCCCATCCTTTAGGTTTCGGTATGCTGGGCTGGGCTGGGCTGCCTGGGTGTGTTTCCCATAATGATGAGCTGTGGCGCCGAGCCAGTCCTGTCTGATCCCTTTTGGTGACTCCGAGACACTGAGAGTCCTTTATAATCCCACCGTCCTGGTCTTCTGCTCAGACCCAGGCCAGTGTGTACAGGGCTGGGGCTAACAGACACACTGCACTGAGGGCATTGATGTGTGCTGTGGTATATACACCCACATGAGCAGGACACTAGGACCAGCGACCGAGGGCAGACCCGTGTGGGAAGTAGACAGAGGGCCAGAAGCTGGTGGTGCCCCTGCCTCAGAATGCAGGTTGCAGGGGCAGATGAAGCATGGCACACTTGGCTGCTGTCCCTGCTTGCCTGAATCTGCAGAAATGAGTAAAAACACCTGCATCGACCCAAGCCCAAATACATACTCAGCAGCTGCTTCCTGTGAGTTCCTCTGGGATGCTGTGACTCAGTTGGTGAACACACTGCAAGGTGTCTAGGATTGCTCCAAACAGGGGTGCCAAGGTGTCCTGTGAGGGCACCTGTGCGGGTCCTCCAATGCTCTTTCTGCTTTGTGTAAGGAAAGGAGACCCATCCTTTCCAAATCCATGTGCTAGAGGAAATTAAAAAGGCACTCAGTAAAGTCAGAAGTTGTTATTTGGCAAAATGAGAATTTCCTAACAGACTCTTTATGTTCTTAAAGAGTTCATTTCTATTGTAAAGCAATATGGTTCATCTTTATAACATAAACCAGGAAGAGGACCTCCTGCAACCCTAGGAGCGAGCAAGGCATTGAGAGGGTTGGAACACCTGCCATGGGTTGTCTTCCTTCTGGTTCAGGGAGGATCTGCTCTGATCACATTTAGGAAATTTTAGGGAATCCCTGGCTGTTTGGTGTGCAGTTTTCTAAATTACTGGAGAGTTACAGCCGACAAGAGGAGGGGACTGGCTGACAAACCCCTCCTTGCGAAAGCTGCTCAAGCGTCCTTCCAGAACTGCTCTGCGTTCTTTTGGTGCAGAAAAATCAGATTCCAAAGCGCATGAATTAGGCTGCCTACTGCCTGCTCCTACAAGAGAGCTTCACTTTCAAACTGTGCAGGACCAAGCCGACCGCGCAGCTCCTAACAGGACGCACACCAGGACGAGGCACACAAAAGCGATGTCCGGCTGGTTCCAAGGCTGGGCTTCAAGGTGAAATTCACACACAGTCACGTACTGCCTGATGACATTTCCAGCCACAAAGGCCCGCATACACACAGCGGGTCCCATTAGAGCATGTGGTCTACTGACGTCATGGCCGTCTGAGTTGGTGTGATATACTCCACAGTTTACTCTATGACAAGGATGACAGCACATAACCCAGTTTACAGAATGTTGGCTCTGTCGTTAAGTAATGCATGCCTGTGCTGGAGGATTTTGCAGTTAGCGCTTTGGTCTGCTGCTCCATCCAAGAACAAAGAAAAGATTCTAGTAAATCATGGCTTGCCTGTGTGTGGAACTTTCCGTTGTTTGACTTCAGCCGGGTCATTTTGGTCATTCTCTTGATGGGTTGGTTGCTACGGGACTAACAATAGCTCCGAAGCAGAGCACAGCTTGGGGAAGCTGAGGTGTCCCTTAGGTGCTGACTGTGAAAGTGAAGGTCGTTGGCATACTGCCAGGATCTGAGGGGGTCATCAGCTACATACACACCAGGAGCTGGGCTCTCTCTCTCAGTCCAGCTCTGGTCTCCCCGCTTGGAAAGAGTGTCAGAAAATGCCACACCTGCTTGCTCCTGCTTCCTCTGCATTCATTCTTTGAAAAGTGACAGAGACATATATGAAAGCATTTTTGTGATATTTTCGAAGAATCCCTCAGATGGAGGGGAAAGCCTCAAATCTCAGAAAGATTGTTTGCTGATGGCAGAATTGATGGTATCAGAGAAGGGGAGGGAGCCGGGGAGACTGGGCTTGCCTGCACTCGGAGCGTGGAAGCAGCTTTCCCAGACTCTGCGACAGAGAGGTCCCAGCCAAGCCCATCCGTTGGTCAGTGAACACTTAGGAGAGAGCAGTGTCCTGGGGAAGCACTTGTTGCTCAAAAAAAAAAAAATTGCCAGTTTTCAGAGTGTTTCTAGTAATTTTTTTTAAAAGACTTGTTTATTTTTATTGGAAAGGCAGAAATACAGAGAGGAGGAGAGACAGAGAGAAGATCTTCCTTCTGATGGTTCACTAAGCGGCCGCAATGGCTGGAGCTGAGCCAATGTGAAGCCAGAAGCTTCTTCCAGGTCTCCCATGCAGGTGCAGGGTCCCAAGGCTTTGGGCCGTCCTCGACTGCTTTCCCAGGCCACAAGCAGGGAGCTGGATGGGAAGCAGAGCCGCTGGAATTAGAATTGGTGCCCATATGGGATCCTGGCACGTTCAAGGCGAGGACTTTAGCTGCTAAGCTGTTGTGCTGGGCACTCAAGTAATTGTTATAAGCCATTTCTTGTAGCGCTCTGAGCAGTAGATTACATTTTTGTGTTTTTGGGTTATTTTTTTTTCCCCCAAACAAACCCAGTTCTTCTAAGTTCTGGAATGAAGCTAGTGTCTAGTGGCAAATGGCATTTCCTACCCCAGAGCTAGAGTTGCTTTGATATCTTGTGTGTGCTCATCACATCTGCAGCGGTTGAAAAGGTACATTGTTTCTGCTGGGAATTTCTTAAACTAATTTGATTTCAATATTTCTTTGTCTTTTCCAGTATAGTCTTTTTTTTTCCCCCCCCCTCCAAGGGGGCAATGTAGGTTTTCCCTTGAGGGCAGAGGAAGGCGAACAGAGCAGAATTGGAGAGTTGTTCTCACTGTCAAAGCCGCTTTATCTGCCTGAAAGCCCCTGTGTGATTTGGAATCTGAACTCCCACCAGACGCTGGGCCAGGAAGTCCCAGTGACCGTTTCTAAAATCAAAGAAGTCACCAGTGTACTTCCTCTCCTGGAAAGACACAGCATTGGTGGGATTTAAAGCACACCCTGTTTTTCCAGCTTTCTAGACCTGTGCTAGATCTGTTGTAAATTTAAAACTCAGGTGGTGTGTCTCCTGCTAAGGACCAAAGCCCTCAGCTCTGGAAAGCGGGTGAGGATATTTTTTCCATAGGGGACCGTGTTTCTCTCCCCTCCCCTGCCACTGCCATAGCATCGCCATGAAACATCCCATTTCTCCATCTGTAGTACCACCAGCCTGTGCTGCAGAGTGGAATAAGGCCTAAACCCCTTGGCTCTCCCTCTCCCTGCAGTTGCCTTTGACTCTGGGAGCACCCGAGGCATGCCTTCTTACCTGACCTGGGCTCGTGCCCAGCTGCTCTATAACCTTTGACGAACAGCTGCACCTCTGTGGATTTTGCCATCTGCCAGAGCAGAATGAGGTGGCTTCCCTAAAGACCACAGCGGAGTGTGGTGAAGACAGAATGAGAGAAGCTTCAAGAAACCCAAACCCTGCTCTTCTTGTTCCCGGAGTGATCACTGATTTTTGAATTTTTGTTAACAGAAATACTGTCATGACTTAAACTTGCAATGTGTTAAGCCCAAGAATTTTAATGTCTTACATAAGGTTCTAAATGGGATGCTTCTTAACAAGGGTCATGGAACACCAGCATCTGAATCATCTGAGTTACTGGTTAAAATGAGACTCTCCATCTCCCAAGCCAGGGCCAGCGTGGTGGCACAATGGGTCAAGCCATCCACCTGTGATTCCAGAAACCCATATCAGAGTCTGGGTTCAAGTCCCAGTTGCTCCACTCCTCATCCCGATGCATACTAATGCATCTCAGAGGCACATGGGGGAGACTGATGGGGTTCTGAGCTCCTGGCTTTGTCCCTGACCGTCCCAGCAATTACAGCCATTCAGGGAGTGAGCCATTGGATGGAAGGTCTCTTTCTCTCCCTCCCCGGCTCTGTGTTTCTCTCTATAAATATCATTCTGCCTTCTAAATAAATGCATCTTTTAAGAAATAAGGCTACCCCCATGAAAAAAAAATATTAGCACTTGTACACACATACTCTCTCACACACACTCACATATACTCACTCTTAACATACTCACATCTCAGGGTGGAGCTCCAGGTTCTAAAGTTTGATGAATCTCCAGGCAGCCCTTCCCTTTAAAGTTTGAGAACAACTGCTCTAGTATGTCTAAAACACGCCCCCATGGCTATGTTTTCGTGAATACTGTGTGTTACAGGAGAAGGCGGTGCACCCCGGGCCTTCACAGCTGATGGGCTCTCCAGCACAGGAGTACAGCCGTAAGACACAGCTCGTTGTGCTGGTGAGCCCTGGGAGGCAGTTAGCTTTCTAAG